AAAGGATTTCCAGTTAAATTGGTGATGGCAAGATGAGATTGTCAGATCAATCATGCTTTGGGGGCTTTCAGGGTAGGACCCATGTAACTAGTGAACTTGTGCACTTGTGAACAAGTATGGGAATTCAGTATAGCACTGATTTCCAGTTTCTGTGTGCTCTATGTATTAGAGGTTCCATGGCAACCAGAGAGTTTGAGGGCATTAAAACAAGGAGATGCCTTCATTGCCTGCAGTGATGGCATTGCCACAAGCAAGAGGTTCATAAAAGTGCAAAAGAATATCTGATCAGAAAACTGGAGCATTGGGAGAACTTTAAGAGAACTCTGAGTTGTGAGGGCTCCACATTTTGAATGCACATACCCAGTTTGGATCAAGACTGGCATTTGCAGACATTCACTCAGAATACTGATTCACTGCTGGGATAGTTAAGCGTCCTCTGCCTGGGCCTGCTAAAAAGAAATTACTTCTTTTGATACATGAAATGTGACAATGATTTGATGCTAACTCAATAAAATTTGATGGTCATTTCATTGCATCTGGTGAAAATAATGAGGGAGAACTTGGTGTTAAATTCATTAGGTCTGGCAATGAAATCGTTTGTGAAGGTAATATCAATTTTATGATATAAAGTCATTGAGTGACCAAATAAAATCTGGTGAAGAATTATTACTTCTTCATGACAGTCAATATTATTTGGTGATGAATTAAATTCTAATAATTCGGAAGTGGTCTTGGACATGAGAGCATAAGTTGTGACCCTAAAAGACAGGACTTCAAGAATGACTTTTCCACAAAATTAAGCAACTCTTTTCAAACCTAGTTCTTCCTTCATTTGTCCATGGTTCACAAATCAGCAGCAAGATTTGAACTTGTGCACCAAATGGACAACAGGATCGAGCATCAATCACATGCATAGCTTCCTTTCATTTCAGTGCATACCAAGAAAAAACCTATCTTATGAGTACACCAGCTATGCTTCATATTGACTTTGTCTTGAGTTTTTCATAACACAAGAAAAACTGAAAACAAAAGAGGACATGCCTGGTTGTTATGGGCCACAGGTCTGTCAAAGATGGCATGCATGCCTAGAATGGCAGACTGGGGCGGGTTGATGATGGGTGTCCCCATGAGGGAGCCGAACACGCCTCTGTTGCTGATGGTGAATGTCCCTCCATCCATGTCCTCGATGGCCAATTCTCCTTTCCGTGTCTTCTCGGCCAGGGCTGCCACACCCAGCTCGATGTCAGCAAAATTCATCACCTCCACGTTTTGTAGCACTGGCACCACCAGACCCTAGATAGGCAAGAAAAAGGTCAACATAAAGCAGGAATGAGTCTCCAAGCATCTTTGCACCACGTAGAACACAACTTTGGGCTGGCGACAGCCACCGAAATATCAATGTAGTCCCTGTAAACGATCTTGTTACCGTCGATGACAGCATTCACAACTGGCTGATTCTCCAGGGCATAGGCTGAAGCCTTGATGAATGCAGCCATGAAACCCATTTTCATTCCATACTTGTTTACAAATGTTTCCTGATGAGTCTTCCTCAACTCTATGACATTGCTAGAATAAAGATGATGGAATGTTTCAGAACAATTTCTTTCCCACCTGCAGGTTGGCTCTAATATCCAAGAGCTGGTCAAGTTAATTTGAAAGTAATCTATTTAATGAGATTAAACCAAACCACAATTTCCATCAAAATTTTAATAGGCTACTATGCTCAACACATGGTATGAATATGATTCATAAATTTGCAACAAAACTTTGATACATGATAAAAAATTCAAGACTCAACCATTAAACCTAGTGAACCTGTCCACTGGTTGGAACAACATGTAAGCTGAAGTTCCATTTTTCTCTTTGTCAATGACCATGGTCCATGGTTCAGGAGTTAGTCAATATTAGAATGAAAATTGGGACCAAAAATAATTGCAGCCTGCTTCTAATCCACATGCTTATATCCAGTGTATTCCATTACATATAGAGTAGCTTTAATTAGACACAAAATAAGTGCTAAGTACATCAGATTATAGATAAATAGATTAGAACCAGATTTTAAAAATTCATTTGAATGATAGGGATTGATCAACTAGCAAAAATATTTAACTAGATTTAGTCCTAGCAACTGAAGATGATGTGGCAATAGATGTCCACGTGGACTTGGGCAACTCAGATCATATGACAGCTACCTAGGGCATTTGATTGAACCAAACACAAGAATAATCCAGCAAGGGGCAAGTAGGACCATGGTGAAGCAGATTTTACAAGACAAGAAGATTGATTTCAATTACAGATTGGAATGTAAATCTAGTTGGGCTTGCATTACATCAGCATTGGTGGACATACAAGACTACTTTTAATGATTATGCATAAGGTTGCATAATATGTGAGCCAAATGAGAATGTTTACTTGAAAATGTTGATTCATTCTGTAGGTCTAGCCATTCCCATGTCTCATGATTCTGCACAATGACTCACAGAGGGACAACAGCATAAATGTGGCATGATGTAATTCCCTTGAAATAACCTCAAGATTGCATCTGAGCAATCCCAAGGTTTCCAACTACTTTGAGAATTTGAGTCTGCTTCATGATGCTGATCCCAACCCTTAAGACAAGTCTTGACTCTTTAATCATATTTTTATTTAAGTGCACTAAGTGTTTAAGTGTTCTTCAGTCATTGAACTAATCAATCTTAACATTTCCACTGCTAGGCTCTATCCAGGTTCCCAGCCCTCAGCAAGCCAGGCAACTCAAACAAGCATGAGTCAGAATTCTTTTATGCATCAAGAATCCAGATTCTCTTTACATAGTCTGTGCTGACTGACCAAACATTACTGCTACACCCTCACCTGTAGCACAGACAGGATGTTCAGTGTGAGCATTCCATGTTGTCACAGTGATCACCAACCCTGATCTATATCAGGGATAGATGCAAATAACCTTGAACAAATGCAATAACCTTGAGTTCATATAATCAGGTGCACTCTCCTAGGGGAACAGACTGTCATTCACATCCATTCCAGGAAAATATGTGTCAGCATGAGACAGATGGATACACAGTAAGGAGACTTGTGGCAAGCATCTGTCCTGCCTACTTGGAAAATAGAGTCATGGAATATTCTTCCTTGCATACCCCTATGCACATGTGTTGAGTGAAGGAGGAGAAAGAGATAGAAGGGAGGGAAGGAAAGTTGGTTATCACATACTTACATCCACACACTCATGCATACAGTGACCCAATGAGCAGGGGCAAGGGAACGAGAGGTGTATCTCATCAATAGCATATGAGAACTACTTCTGAATATAAATGAGTCTAGCTTGTCATTGGTGGTGAATGTGAGTAGACTACCCATAGCCCCATTTCACCACACAGACATCAATTCAGACTTGTCCTAAGTTTGCTTCATAGTGCTGGTGCCAAAGAAACAATCCTCTTCACCAGCCCTGGCTGATACCTTGTCAATATGGACTTTCTGATTACACTCAGCCATGCAGAATGGAAGAAGGCATGAATCAAGGAAACAAAGGATCTCATGATACCCATCAACAAAAACAAAAGAAAATATCAAGTTCTTAAGAAAGACCAAACAATCTAGATTGGCCTTGGCCTTCAGCCCTTACCTCATATCAATTTCATTAAAGGTGGTGAGCATGGCATGGACATTCTGAGCATCCTTCAATCACTGCGATATCCTGAGACGCATGCGGTTCATCTTGATACGCTGCTTCGTCCTCATTCCTTCAGTGACAAATGAGTTCATCATCCATGTCTGAATGCATGCATTTTCATGTTGATTAAACAGTTTAGAGAAAGAAAATTCTTGCCAGTGATTTTCTTGGTGGGATCCTGAGGAGGAAGCTTCACTGAGGTAGCCAAGGCTGGCTGGGCCTGGAACTGTGCAGCGGTAATGGTTTCCCAGGGGCCCTTGGGCAAGGGTGGGGGTCTGGGTGGGGTTGATGGTGGGGGAGGCCTGCCTCCTCCTGTGGGAGGGGGTGGTGGTGGTGGTGGAGGAGGTTTCAAGAAATCAGGGGATCTCAGGTGTGGCTCCTCCTTTCCATGAGGAGGAGGAGGAGGTGGGGGTGCAACTACTTTTTTCAGCTCAACTGGCTTCTCCTTTATCTCAGGGGATACTGCTTCTGCTTTCTTTGGTGCCTCTCATAATATAACAGAGCATAGTCAAATGTGGGTAACTAATTACCAAGTCACCATCAAGAACCAACAATATAAAATTTTATTGGGTGTGATACAAGAGTTAAACATACATTAAACATTTAAAAAGGTCCCATAATTGGCTTTCAGTTTTTCAATAAATTAAGGGATGTTAAGAAAGGTAGCCTAATGCTGAAAAGTGTATCCAACCAAATTTTATTTTGGAAAAATTTCTCATACATGAGGTTTTTGAATTTTTGAAGTGACAAATTTTCATAAATTCTTTTTCCAACTATTTTTCTTAGACATTTGCAAGTTGGATAATGGACAGTAGAAAGAGATGTTGAGAAACAATGACAGAAAATAAGGATTCATTGCTGGAAGAACTCATGTAATTTCATTAAATTTTTAAATTTTAATAAAGAAATGAAAAATGAAATCAGTTATGGAAAATTTAGACATTTAATTTAATTAATTTCTAACATTCTTTCTAAAAAGCATGAAAAACTAGAGATCAGTAAATCCAAATTCTGCAGAGTACCACTACAGACAAAATGGTTAAGTCTCCCAACACTGACAACAGTGAATTATAACAGCTTCGCCTCTGGATGTGAATCATTAGATCATTTAGTTTCTGGCCACAGACACCCCACAGGAGATGTCAGGCATACAAAAAAAATTGAACAGGGGTCTCTGTTTCTCACTGCATTCTATTTCAGTCGCAAGATGAAATGAGACATAACATATGCTTCCATACCATTGATATGAAGCTTTAAGAGCTTTGCTCCGGCCTGGACACTGGCTCCATCAACCACGAGTAATTCCTCAATCACTCCTGCAGCTGGGGCATGCACTTGGATTGCCGTCTACAGGATTTAAAACAAAATTTCAAGTAGAAATATTAATTCAGCACTAGTTCTCAGGGAGAACTCCTTCCAAAATATGATTGATAACTTTCTCTAGAATGAGTAGATACCATTTCTATTGTAATTTTAAGTCTTGTAGCAAAATATCACTTGATAAAAATTTTCAGCCATCATGAAGATGTCATAGTAAACACATAAAGACATCATAGTAGACAGGAGCATGGAAACTACCCATGGCTTATCATGAAGGAAGGTTACAGTTTTTCCCAATTGCTAACGTCCGTTTCTCAAAACTACACTTCCGTTTTCAAAACAATTTGAACAAATCCCTGAACTCTGCAATCTTTTCACAAAACTTAACATCCGATTTCATCGCTAACGTACGAAAAGCAAAACTC